AAAAAAAAAACTCAGAAATGTCCCTATCAATGAAAAAAATTTTCTAACGAAATTTTTTATCAAAAAAAATCTTCTTATTAAAAAAATTCCCAATGAAATTCTATCAAACAAAGCCTTTGCCTATATTAAAAATAAAAATTCTCTACAAAATTTGTTTATAAAAAAAAGCCAATAAAAAAAAAAAAAATTTTTTTTTAAAAAAAATTAAATGGCAGGTACCCGATATGTAAAATGGCGGGTACCCGATATGTGAAGCAGCAGGTACCTGATATGTGAAGTGGCGGGTACCTGATATGTAGAACGGTGGGTACCTGATATTTGAAACGGCAGGTATTCGATCCCTTAATAATTTAAAATTTGGTCCAAAATAAATTAATAAACCATTATAATATAAAGCGCATACGCGTTAAATTATGTAGCGTATACACGTTGCTTTTTATGGCGGGTTACCCCTGAAATTGACAGGTTAACCCAACAGAACAGGGGTAACCCACCGTGAAATATAACGTGTATACGCTATGTTTTGTAGCGTGTACACGCTATGTTTTGCTACGCACTTTTGACCACTACCGCTTGCCATAATATAATGTATATTTCAGGAGTTAATGTACGTAACACAGGTGAACTTATTTTGTTTCAAAAATGTCTGATTGTTTAAACGAGATTTTTAAATATATAGATGATGATGATAAAGTTACTTTCGTTCATGTGTCAAGTTTCAGTGAGAATTTTATGGAGAAATGTTTCTAATTATGATACTTCGAATTTTAATACTTTAATTGCCTGTCTTCCAAATGAATCAAAAAAAAATTCTAAATGAGAATGGAATTAATATTTTAACATCAAATTCAAAATTTCTAACTTTCAATTATTCAACATTTTGTAAAATTCTATCAATTAATCAATTTCATTACAAAATTGAGATGCTTCTTAGAAATCAACAAAACTATTTCATATCGTAAACTTACTAAATATACTTAGGTGGTAAAAGAAATATTAAAAATGTTTATGAATAATATTCCTTCCTTAAAAAGTTTAAGTTATTTAAAAAATTTAAATATAAATTTCAATTTGTTACGTTATCACAAAGAAAAAGTTTGCTTAAAAAATCTCACAGAATTAACATTGTAGTTCAGATATTTCCAACAAATTTTTTTATAAACTATCACGAATATGTAATAATATATTACTAATTGGAATAATGATTTAATGTCATATTCCCAATTAGATTAGCAGAATTAATTTCAGTTCAGAAAAATTTAAATCCTTTTATATGATAAAAGATTGTAGTATGGATGACATTCTGTGCGACTGATTAATATAATCTTCGAAGCTTAATTTAAACTTTCTATAGACTTTTTAACTTCCATTATCAAATTCCTATAAATTTTTTAACAATAAAGCTTCTTGCTTGTGTATTAATCTTCTTTAATATAATCTTTTATTTACTTCTAATATTTAAATATTGTGTATCATATTTAATAAAAATTTTATATGGCTGGACGAAATCGTGGTCGAGGTAGAGGTAGAGGCCGAAGTCAAAGTCAAAATTGTAGTAAAATTCAAATTAGAGGTCGTGGTCGAATCGAAAAGAGTCTTGATACAGTATAGAATGAAACTATAAATGGTGGAACTTCGGATGGTAAACATAAAAGATCAATAATATCAAATTCAGATAATGATGATGATGAGAAAAACCAAAAAGAAAATAAATCAACATTATCACAACTACCTTCATTAGAGCAAAATGATACTGGACCTTTTCATTTGTCACTTACTGCTCCAATTTTACAAAAAAATATATTAATTTCCCTTCCAACATCAGTTTCTATCCATAAGTCACTTTTTTTCATCAACTCAATCTAATTTAAAAAACACTATTAAAATCAACTCTAATACATTATATTCTGATGATGATAATGGTAATCAAACTGATGATTCCACTGTATCTTCTCAAGGTTCTGCAAATGAAAATGAATCAACTTTATTACATGCAAATACAAGTATTTATTTTATAATATCCACTTAATTTTTTTTATATTTATATGTACTAAACCAGAAAATTAATTCTTTTTAGCATCAGATTCTCGTATGTTGACAAAACTCCTTGAAGTTGTAATGCAAAACTAAAGATCTTAAATTTTTATCGACCAAAGTAATGGGATTAGAAAATACTTCAAAAAGAATTAAGTGAAATTAAAGATGCTATTGGATCAAGTGATAAGAATTTAAAAACAGTATTGTCAAACAAAAAGGAGCATGGTTGGATTGATGTAAGTAATGGTAAATGATTTTCGTGATGCATATTACGTTCTCTTACAGTCTTACTAATAAATATTTTATTTAATAGGTTTATATTTCATATATATCTGAAGACTTATTGTATGTTAAATTATAAATATCCAACAAAAGAACAAGCTAAAGAAGCTTCTTTGCGAATATTAACAAAATTTCAATCAGAAAAAATCAAACTAATAATGGCATCTAATGCATGGGATTTATTAATTGAGAATGGTATTCTTTCGGAAGTAAGTTATCAATTCACAAATTAATTTCCTAATATATATGTTACAATTATTATACTTTACTTTTGATTTTTATTAATAGGTAATCACTAAGCTAACTTCATTGCATGGTGGTATTGTTTCTAAAATTAAACAAAAAGTGATCGAAGTGTTTGGTTATTCACTTGAATATATTGATTCTGATGCAAGTTAAGGAGCCATTACTGCTTGGAAGGAATTGGATAATACAAAATGGTGTTTTGAAAACTTGGGTATAATAATGCTAGACACATATATGGATGAAATTTTTCACACAAACAACTGGAAATTGATCGTCTATTCGCCACTGCAGTTGTATGCTATATTCTGAATGAAAACTCAGGTAAATTGTTGTAACTGAAATTGAAATCTATTTTAAAACTGATGGACCAACTTTAGATATCTTATTTTAATATTTTAATATATTTTCATTGTATTTCATTATATTTATATAAAAGTATGTAGAAGAATTAAGTATAAAAAGCAAAATTAACATATAAGAATACGTAACAACACTAATTGAATTTTTATTCTTAAATAAAATTATTCGCAATTTTACATATTTTTAAATAAAAATGTTCATATATAATTAAAAGTGTAGATTTATTTATATTTATTAAATTGCTAACATAAATCTCTATATAAATATATATAATACTCTTTAGTCTTGCATAACATTTTACATAATTTTACACCGTTCATGGTCCCTACGGGTGAAGATTTTTACGTACTTCTATATAATATGCTATATATTTATTATATAAATATAAGTTCCTGATGATTATTCACATCAGATCTTACATCATAAATTGAAAATAACAATTTTTAGTATAAAATTTTCAATTTAAAACTTTTAAGCTATTTCTTCGACTTATCAATTTAAGAAGTTGTTATTTGAAATCGTTCAATTAAATAAGGTGTTGAGCAAATGAAATTACATACAGATTACATTCTGAAAAATTCTTCTCTCTTTGTAAGATTATCGTTATTGTAAAAATAATTTGCATTGAATAATAATTCACAAAAAACTAATTTATTTGTGACTTTCTTAATAGGGTTAATTTCTCAGGTTTATTTTTAAATCAAATGCAAATCATAAAGAAAATGATTAATAAGATACTAGGACATAAAAGATTACAATATCGTAATTAAATTTATTACATTAATTTTACAGATACAAATATTGAAATATTATAGATAAGAAATCTTTTTTTAAAGTTATTTTATACAATGATTAATATTTACATAGAGAATTTAGAAACAAATTTAAGTAAAACAATTAGTATGATTCATATTTCATGCAATGCATCGGTCATAATTCATCAAAGAATTATCATAAGGATAATATATTAAAATACTAAAATATTATTTCAAATAGATGTTTATAGTATTCATGAGAATATATGTTAATTAGTATGTTAAATAAAATTCTTAATTCGTTCTCGAGTATTAAAATGCTTATTTATATACATGCATAATAATACAGTTATTGATGGAAGGTAACATATCAGTCACTCTTAAGGGGTGACCAATATTTTTACCCTCATAATTTATAATTTATTTGTTAATAATAAATTATTGATAAGATATGTTAAAGCTTTCAATTTCTTCAATAGTATAAACTGTATCAGTCTTTAAATTATTTTCATAATTATTGCTATAATTATTAGCATGTAAACTTACATTGCCCATAGTTAATGAACCCCAACCAAAATTAAATCCATTATAATCACTATCCAATATGGCTTGAGATTTGTCTACTACCCGACTTATTTTCATATGTCGAGTATCTTCACTATCTTCAAATGAGAAAATAAAATTATCAGATGAGTTGTAAAATCGATGATGATTACTACCATCAGTAGTAAAATCATTTCCTAATGAACAAAACCCAATAGAACTATATCCACCAAAAACTTTATTTGTATCTTTAACTTTAATTAAAACTAAGCTTTCTACTCGTCCATTACATTTTTTTCTAAATGACTCACTACTAATTCCATCACGACTACCACGATAAATAAGTTTAAACCTATATGATTGATCATTTCTAGTACGAATATACATGGTATCCTTTTTATCAATCCAATTAACGATTATTTTTGCAAGTATTGGTTTGATGATTTCAAATGGATAACCAGTTCTAGGTGGTAAAATTGCGGTTTTAGGTAAGGCATCTTTACAATAACATTCTTCGATTTCTTCATAAATATGATTAGGAATAATAGTTCTATAAGGACAGACTTTGTCAAAAAAATCTGCACGAGAAATCTCCGTAAATCGAATTAGAGGAATAAATTGATTTAAAGTTTTCTTTAATTTTTTATAATCCTTATTATTCCATTTCGCTCTATTACTACTCTCATTCCCAAGACCAGAAGTTTGTTCAACACCCCATTTAATTAAATAATCCCAAATGATAACTTCTTTAATTTGTAAGTCATCTCTTTCAAGCAAGTCAAAAAGTATTTCCTTATTTATTGAAGAAAAGATTTTTGATGAAAAAAATGGTAGAGGATTTTCGCAGATAGATTCAAGACAATAATCTTGTAATTTCTTGCAATTATTAAGTCTAAACACAACATTAAGAACAAGAACAAAATTTTCATGAACCCATTTGGTTTGTTTTTCGATTAAATAATCTCGAACATGTCTAAATAATTCTTCAAGAAGTAATTCATCAGATGCAATTAGCAAACCAAGAATATTTTCACCTGATTGTTTAGTTAAATCAAGTTCACCAGTGTAAATATATCTAATTAAAAATTATATATATTTATAATAAATTAATAAATTTAAATTTCAAAATTTATAAATAAAAAAAATAAATAGATATTCCTCACTTCAAAATCATATAAAAAACAGTTGGAGTAATATTTGATTTATTAAATATAATCATATTATCCTTCTTTGTAATCCAATTTTTAGAAAGAGCACTTTTGAAATAAGGAGAGCGAGCACGTAAAATTACTGAATGTGCACGAAATTCTTTTATATTTTGGTTTTCACCAACTTGAATAATGACATTGTAATCATCTGCATCATCTAATATTAAGGAAAGGTCTTTTGAGAAACCAAGATGAAAAATTGTTGCCATTTATTTTTTTTAAATAAAAATTTTTTTAAAAAAAGAAAAGCGATGAAGTTATTGTTTAGGTTCATTAATATAGGAATAATCATGTATATCGATGGCTTTAAAATTTGTAACGTTACACAATGAAGTAACCACATTTATCCCACTATCCCATGATTAGTTAAAATTCGTGATTTTTTTTCTCGATATTCTCACGCCCAGACTCACGGGTAGTGTTAATTTAAAAAGATGAGTAAAAAGCCTATCAATCTTGATTAAATGATCTTTTTTGTTTAAAAATCGAGCCTCAGCCATAATAATTTAACAGTGAGAAATTTATTTTGAGGTAATTGATTTTTCGGGTTTTTTCTCAATGATAAATGGTAAATTTATAAAGAATATAAGCATTTAAAAATTTTTTTTTTTTGAATTATATCAAATTAATCCAAATACTAAAAATAGTTCTTGACAATTAATTTAATACAACAATTTAACAAGGAATACATTATACTTTGATTGAATATTCGATTATTGTAATAATACATTCTGTTTATAGCGTGGGTACCATTACAAAATTCTGTTATTCGACCTTTTTATTTAATTTCTTTTTTTTTAGATATTCTTCACCATGTTGCCGTATTACTATGTTTGATATTCGTGTATTAATAAGAGAAATTTAATTCGAGTCTCGGCCACACCTAAAATTGGTTCGACATTGTTTCAGAATTTTTTATACTTTCTATTTGAATAATAATTTTAACAATATAATAAACCAACGTAATTAATGAAAAAGTTCGCGTACAATAGACGCAGTGAAATTACTCACATGAATCTCGTCACATGCAACGGTACAGCAAAAGTCTGGCGCAGTATCTTTTGAGGTACTGCGGTTAATATCAACTGATAGTCAAGCTTTTTTGTTTGGTGATACTAGCGGTGCCGTGCGACAACATTCGGAGAAAAAATCCGAATAAATACTTAAAAGGGTTAATTTTCGTTACTCAATACATAATAAAATTTTTCCAATTTTTTTTAACTTTTCTGTCAATTATTATTATTTCAATATGTCTGGTAATAATAAAATGCAAGATACCAAAAATATAAATAAATGGATTAATCGGATTGAAGAAGAAAAAATCATTACAAAAAAAGATATAACAGAAATTAGTACTCAATTTTCAAACAAACAAGAACTTAATGAGACTTCTTTAGGGATCAATAATTTAGAATTACAAGAAGAATTATTTCAAATTATTCAATATTTTGATAAAATAAATATAAAAGAAATTGATCCTATAATAGTGTCAAATGAAAAAGAAAAACTTTTATTTAAAAAAGGTTTTGACATAATAGTTGATAAAACAAATGATTTAATTTTTAGATTATTAAGTAAAGGAATTGAATGGAAGTTATTAGAAGAGTTAGTTATTGATTATTTTAATAATCATAATATTAATTTACAAGAAATTTATAATTGGTCATCATATAATCAAAATAGTGCAAATTCCATTTTTTTACTTGGGTATTTTAATAACAGAGGAATTGAAACAAGTGTGAATACTAAAAAAGCATTTAATTTATTTATTAAAGCATCAGAAAAAAATCATATACTTGCACAATATTTTGCTGGGAATTGTTATGAATTTGGTAATGGAACTATAAAAAATGAAAAATTAGCTTTTGAATATTTTGAAAAATCGGCTAATAAAAATTTCTCCCATGGGCAAGCAGAAATTGGTTATTTTTATGAAAATGGATTAGGTATTACACAAAATTTTAAAAAGGCCTTTTATTGGTATGAAAAGGCTGCAAATAATGGAAATATAATGGCTGTATATAATCTTGGCCGTTGTTATAAAAATGGAATGGGTGTTAAGAGAGATTGTAATAGAGCCTTTAAATTGCTTAAGCAATCAGCTGAAGGAGGATATTTACGTGGAATAACAATGTTAGGAGTTTGTTATGAAATTGGTGTTGGAACTAAAATTGATAAGCAAAAAGCGTTTGAATTATACCAAAAATCAGCAAATTTAGGAGAATTAGTGGCACAATATAATCTTGGTATTATGTATGAGTTTGGAAAAGGAATTACAAAAGATATAAACAAAGCAATTTATTGGTATGGAAAATGTGCTGAACAAGGTGATCAAGATGCAGAAAATAGATTAGTATTCCTTCAACATTATTAATAATTTAATATAAATTCTGTCTCAGTCTAATTTATGAAATAATCTTATATATGAAAGTAGTATTAAGGCAATACTTTTGTATATATCTAAAAACAAAAGATTTATTTAGAGAAAGAGAAATATTTTTTTGAATAAAATATAAGAATATAATTTTTATTAACACAATGAGATTTTTTATTTATTTATGAGTTATGCTCAAAGAAATATTACGATATAGTAAACTTATGCATAAGTATCAATGAATACTTGCATATACATATATCACCTATAACATACTTTTGTCATAAAAATAAATTTAAGTGGTTACAATACATTTTGCTGAAATCTATTTCGCCGAAACCCATCTTGCTGAAACCATTTCACCGAAGGGATGTTTTGCCGAAGGGATATTCGCCGAAAGAACGTTTCACTGAAAGTGCATTTTATCGGATCAATTTCACCGAATCGTCTATCTCGCCGAATTCCATTTCACTGAATTAACATTTTTATAAAAAATATTCATCGCGCAATGAAAATAAAAAATAAGTCCGGTGAGACCCAGTCTTTCTCTTATTATATTACTAGTTTAGGTTACGCAATAAAGAAAGAGGTGAAAAGAAAGAATAATAAAATTAGGCCACATAAACTTAATTTTTCCGTTTTCATATCCCGGCCGGGTTAGTTTTTTTTAAATCTCAAAAAAAAAAAAAACAAATTATTATACCGGGTAAGATTTTTTTTTATAAAAGTTAAAAAAAAATTTTCTTTTACATATAAAATTTTTTGAAAGCCGGGTGCCGGGTCATTTTCAAAATTGTTATGTTATGAAAACCTAAAAATTAAGTTTGCATTATCTTAAATGTTAGATACTGCGTAATCCTTCTGCCATTCTGCGATATTCTTGATGAATGAAGACTCACATTTTACGGTATATTCGTGGTTATAGAAGATGATATTACTTCAAGGGTATCCTCTAGTTTATTATGTTGAATCAAAAGTATCCACATAAGTACTTCAGTGGCTTAAATTTCAAACTTTTCCGTTGACAAAAAAATCCATGTTTAGCAACAAGATTAAAGTAATTTAGAGTTCTTAGTCTAATTAAGAGATCGTCCATTTTAGTTGTTTTTTATCAATATATACAGATCACGATACAAAGTTGTTAGCAATCAGATGATCTAAATTTCATAGTGTTGTTTATTGTGATTGGCCGTTGTAATAATAAGTTGTATTCCAAAAAAAGAAGGAAGTAGGTCCTAATTTGGTTAGCAAATATGGCAAAACAGGGGTCCGTTTTTATATAAAATATATATAAACATAATTGAAATTTCGTTTCATTGCAATGAATTTCAATTTCAATTTCAATTTCAATATATCAATTGATTGTTTTTTGGACAGCAGTTGTTTAAATAAATTTCGTGAATTGAAGTTGATCATCATTTACGTCACAGTAAGTAAAAATAATCTAAAATTGGATTTACATGTTATAAAAATTGAAACTTGTATATAGTAACTATAAATAAATTAGTTATAATGAAGGTACTTTTTTTTATTAATAAAATTGTATTTTTTTATTTG